ATTTCGAGAGGCGAAACATCTTCTACACCACAGATACAAAGCCACTGCATTTGATGATATTTTAATGACTAGGGCCCGGATTTTTATGACCTAAAAACTATAAATATGTGCATGCAGCATGGTATCTTCGGTCAGGCGTTCATGATATATCGCTGTTGATTCTACACTTCCTATCTTTCTCTCGTCGGCCAAAACCCGACACGTGACGTCAGGGCACGTTACGTGTTGTCCCGGCGATACGCAATGTTGGACTCAGAGAGGGTACATACTGCGGGAAAATTGGAAATACCAGTTCCTCTGCCTTCCACTCTCGTGTCATCCCGGGGGCATACTTCCTACCGCCAAACCGGTATTCACGTTGGCTTGCATGCAATTAAATTGTGCGTCCTTTTCTGCAGTGTAAAAGGAGATTGACCCTCGGAGAACAGAGGCAAAACTAGGAAGAGAGATTAAGTGAGGAATATAGTTACCTGGTTTCTCAATTTTAGAATTAGAAACGTTTGTGTTCCCCATACAAAAATTCAAGAATTATACTTGAATATTCTATCTATGGCTCTACAGTCCTTTTTTTCTTTTTTGGAATTCGGCTGCTGTTTCAGTTTCTTAATACTATACACATTCAATAGGACTCTTTTTACGGGGGATCAGCCCGCCGCAAAGTTGCTACCTACACACAGAACAACACAAACACAGAATAAACACACACAGATAACCATGCCTAGATTTGGATTCGAACCCACGAACCCAGTGTTCGAGGGTGCGAAGACAGTTCATGCTTCAGGCCGCTCGGCCATTGAGATCGGCAATTGAATATTCCAGAGATAAGAAAAGGTAACATTCATCTGCTCAGAAACTGTTGTTAGGTCATAGAACAGTGTATTTACTAAGCAATTAATATAATAATTTCTCTAACACTGCAAAACGCATCATAATTTCGTTGCCAAAATACTGTTCAGTTAAAGGAGGGAATACCGGAAGTCAGCGTTGCTCAATTTGTGTTCTGGGGGTTTGGGTTTCAAATATCACAGAGAGAGAGACTTTGATATAGACGTCTGTTCGGAAATGCTAAAATATCATCTGTGGTTGTACGATAGTTTAGAGTTTTTTGATGTTCAAAATCTTTTCCATTACCTTCTTATACATAAGGATTGTACGTGACTTAAGACGGGTTATGGATTGGATGGTTGGATATATTGACACCTTATTCACACATCTCAGAACTACGGGCAATTACAGCGTTATTGCTGTCGCGTGTTTAAAATAAAAACAGGACGCTGTATAATGTCCAGAAAACAATAATTGTATTACTATACTGCAACGTAGTACGTGTGACTAAGACGGGGTTTAGATTGGTGAATGGATTTGTGGACAACTCACACACACGACGCGTATTTACAAGCAATTACAGTGACACCGCAGTGTCATAAATCACCACAGCACCAGCTAAGCCCTTTTCCAACCTGCTGTATCTTCACCAGGAGCCGGGATAGCGCAGTCGGTACAGCGACTGGCTATGGGCTAGACGACCGAGGGGTCGGAGTCCGAGTCCCGGTAGGGTCAAAAATTTCATTTCTCCAGTCGTCCAGACCGTCTCTGGGGTCCACCCAACCTCCTATACAATGGGTACCAGGGTAACCACTCACCTCCTACTAATGCCGAGGTAAAAAATGTGGATCTATACATCCACTCTCCCGTACGTCTTCATGGCGTAGTGCTTAATTAGTTAAGCACAAGGACAATTTTGCCTTACTTTTTACCTTGCTGTGTCTTCACCATCTGCTCCTTGGCAAAGGCTACTAACAGTGGAGATTCTACAACCTCACGCTCTCAGGTCTTCTCTTCACAGCCTGCCACGCAGAACTCAACTGAACGTTGTCCCTCTCTTATAACGTCTAGGTACGGGCCACATAGAAAACACATCTCTTCCATTGTTGTGTCCAACTGCATTATTATGAATCTGCTGCCCAGCAACGGCAATGTGTTTAGCAAGCCGTTTCCCATAAACAATCGCTTTTTATAGAGTCACTGCTTAGCAACGGGTCAATAAGCCACAATATCGTCGTCACAAACTTTTAAATATTCGTTCGCTTTATGTGCTTTGTGCAAAGAAAGCATAACACGGCAGACTTACTAACGAAGAAATTCACAGTGGTGAGATGTCGACAAACATAAACCTCATCTAGAGTTTGTAAGCACTAAGTTGTCATTTATACCCTAGTTTTCATCTCACGAACTACTCTCCGAAAACTTATATCCCATTTTAGCTACATTTACACAATTCATCTGTGATATATAAAATTACAGGTGCATACCTCAAAGCAGATGGCGCCTGCTTCCTGCGATCTCCTACCCATTTCGCATACCCACAACCACTCGGTGTTAGATAATGTACATAATTTTGTAAAACGTCATTTAATAACCAAAAGGACAACATGAGAGTGGAAAATGAATTCGAATCGATTCAGAACGAAATTAATGATGTGTATAAAATGTTAATACTTTGTACTTAATCTATAAAGCACTATGCCATGAAGAAATATGGGGGAGTGGAAGTATAGATCCACATTTTCCTGACCTCGACACTAGCTGGAGGTGAGTGGTCAGCCACACGAACCGGTCGCTTTACCCCCGCGGGAAAAAGTCACCGGTACGCATTGAATAGGAGGCTGGATCCGGTTTGGACGACTTGGAGAAGAGAAAATCCTTGACCTTACCGGGACTCGAACTCCGATTCGTGGGTCGTCCATCCCATAGCTAGTCACTATACCGACTGACAAATACCAAGAATAATAAAGAAGAAAGCATGTCTCTGAGTCGAGATTCAAACCCGAGATCTTCTGTATATGCAAAGGGGGGGCAGAACATTTCTCCGCAACATCTGTTGGAGATACATTCAGTCCAGTGGACTGGTAGCTTGATAACAGAAACATATTAACTGATAAGAATGATAGGTAGCTAAATTGATAGTGAGAAGATGGACCAGTTATCAGGATTTAACCAGAGCAGTGAGATTGTCTCAGAATAAAAGGGACCTTGTTCAGTCGAGTATGTAAATCGGATAATCGATCCTTTTTGAAAGCAGTCGGTCAGAAACGTTAGAGGGAGCAGGGCGAGCCGGCGAGATCTGTCGGATTAGTTGCATATTTCCGGTCCGCGTGACGCTTCGAATACTGCGAGCTTATCTGAAGCGCACAGATCCCCCTCAAAACACAGGAATCCTCCCGCAGCTCAATCTCTACTTATCATTCAGACGCGCAAGGCTGGCCTGCATCTCGTGCATGCAGTTTGGGTATAACCTCTTCACATAACTTGACAACAGAACGGAGGCTATTGTCACGATTTATGGTTGTGAAAAAAAGAGGGTTTGCATTGGATGATTGGATTTATTGACCTATCATTTACAATCACTCGTAATCACAATAAATTGCAGTAACTCACAATGTATTTTCAGCCGAACTATTCTTCCTTGAATGCCGAGGACTCGCTCCATTCTGATTCTGTTTCTGTTCTCTGTTACTTATATAGTCAAGAGGTGGATTCATAGAGTACACTTCCATTTCCTAACAATTGACGTCTATTGTTGTCCAGAATGCGCGTCTACTGGTCCGTTACCTAGCAATGGATATCATTCCATTATGGAGGTTTGTGTCACGGAAACGCTTTTACCGAACCGTCCCTAACAATGGATATATGCGTCAAAATATGTCCGCTCTTGGCACGTATTAATCGTATAACATTTTGAGAATAGAATTAGAGCGAAGAGTTCTCTTTTATGTGATATAACGCTGTGTAGTCCATAGAAAGTCAACTAACGTTTCGGAGGAACATGTCGGCTCCACCTTAAGGGTTCATGAATAAGCCAAGCAAGAAACTAGGATTAAGCAGTTAGCAAACAGAGTCGGCTTTCAACGGTTTCCACGACATTATACGAGTATTTCAGAATATACCAGTAGGACCCTTTATAACGACCGTTGTGAAAACTCGGGTTCTACAGAGGATTTGCGTGATTTTCTGAGATAAGTGACAGTGGTAGATTCTTTACTCGAGTATTTACTGGATTTTTTGATGGACTGAATTTTATTTAACATATATAATATTTCGGAAATTGGATTCGTCTCCTTAAAGAAGTGGGGGAAAGGGGAGAATCCTACTCACGAGGCCAGGTATTTACAATGGTCCCAACTAAGTAGTACTCACGTCACCTGCGCCTAATTATTTAAACGTGGCCCATTTTCGAAATATCGTGAAAGTTAAATATATATCATAAAATGGGAGATGCTGAACATAAGATTCTTATATTCTGTGTCTGTATATAGGATAATATGTTGCAGACTTTTATCAAAATTTATAAAAAGATTTATATAGGGATCAGGAAATGCATTTTTGACTAATTACTTAGATGATCTGTAAATAAATAAATAAATAAATAAATCTAATTAATCTGAAAAAAAATCCACTTAAAAATTGCAGATAAAAGGTGTCACATGCACGCGGATATGTGGTTTGGTGGAATGTGAGTTACTCAAATTTAAAACTGAGTTTAAATTTAAATTTAAATATGACGATTAATTTAACAGCATTAGTACCTTAAGGTTAGAAATTCTGTTATGAAGTAATTTTTATTCCTTGCCAAATAAAATTAGAATGATCAAGGAGGATGAGACAGGCATGAAGGATGTATGTAAGTTGAGAAGTATGTGTGCAGGGTTTTCGTCAGAAAGCCAAAAGGAAAGAGTCCATTAGGAAAACCAAGACATAGATTGGAGGATAATATTAAAAACGATTTGACAGAAATAGGATGGGGTTGTATGGACTGGATTCGTCTGACTCAGAATAGGGACAAGTAGCGGGCTCTTGTTAACACGGTTATGGACGTTTAGGTTCCATAAGATTTGGGGAAATTCTTGAGCCGCTGATCAACAGTTTGCTGCTCAAGAAAGACTTAGCTTCATGGAAGTAGTAACATCCTAATATGAAGAACTGTTTGTCTCGTGACTTACCTGTACTTCCAGCCCGTGGTAGGCCACGATAAGCCCTAGAAGAATCACAGTAGACACAGAGATAAGCGTCTTGAGCGCCGTCGAGTAGAACGACGCCTGCAACATAGAAAGAAATTCGTCAGAGCAACGAAATGAAAAGCTGCTGTTGGAAGTCTGGGCAAGATCAGTATCTGACATGTACTCTCCGCCACACAAGCCACGGCTAGTGAATATAGAGTAAAGTTGCTTATGTGTTTAATTACGCCATGGAAAAGCATGGGAGAGTGGAGGTACAGTTCGAATTCATGCGTCGGTAGCTTCATATCAGATAAAAGAGTCTCATTATCCGCTAGACAGGAGGCTGTCAGTCTCGACTTTGCGTGAAGAAAAGAGAACCCTACTGACTCTTCCTGGAATAGAACCACGGTTCTTTAGTCTCAGTACAATAACTTTAGGGACACGCGGTAGCGTAGTTTGTTGAGTCATTGTGCTACAAGCGGGAGGGTAGCGGTTTCAATTCCTATGAGGTCATTTGATTTTTGAATTGACCTAATCCTTCCAGCCGCACTATGTCCCTGGGTTCGACTCAGCCTCTAATAGAAACTAGTACCAGGAATCTTCCTGGGGTTAAAGAGCGCCCGGCGCGTAATTCTGGAAACCTCGCCTGCGTCCGTGAGCCTATTGTCTAGAACATGTGGGAGCCTAGACGTCTAACAAGCCTGTAGACCTCCACGGACTGCTACAGGGATAGATTTACCCTTTTACACTAACTATTTAAGTTCTTTACAAACGTGGTAACCTGATTTAAGTGTGGAGAATTTGGTGGCCACTGTGTGGCTATGATAATTCAAATGTAGCTTTATGGGAGTCAGTCAGTATAGCTACGGGCTGGACGGCTCGGTTTCGATTCCCGGAAGGGCAAGGTTTTTTCTTCTCCTTGTGTCAAGATCAATTCTAGAGCTCACCCAGCCTCCTATACAATGGGTACTGAGGATGAATTCCCCGGAGATAAAACGAACGGGGAATGAAGCTTACCACTCACCTCCATCTAGTATCGAGGTCAACAATGGTGGGACTATACGAATATATCCACTCCCCATACATCTTCATGGCGTGGTACTTAATTAGTTACTCAGAGGGACAAATTTTCTTCCTTGAACTGTCGATAATATGAAAACAGAAATGCCCATTATTAACTTTCCAAATTGGGAGATGTTTTCTGTGAAACGAACCAACTGAAAAGAAAAGCAAAAACAAGATACTCCGTGGTTTTAGTCCGCAAGCGAAATGTACCGACCATTGTGCCTGCAAGGCAATTTTCAATGCGTGTTCTGATGATGCGATTCGGTCTCGCATCATTGATAAAAACCGCACAGGCAGCTCGACAATCGATCAGAGTGCAGGACACATCGGGTGCTCCATTTCACAGCAGCCAGCAAAACTCAGCTAAGTTCAGTAAAATTTCCTGGTTATGATCTCCAAAATGGGCCACTTTTCTTTTAGTCTGTCTTAGTTGCTCATTCAGTTTACTCTTCCACTCTGAAGACTGAGGCAATACACTCCTCCGAAACAGACTGATCATAATCACAGCCCAGAAAGTTGTATTCTTAACTCGATTTGGCACTCGTCCAGGCCGTGTCATGGTTCCTCATGTTCATACGAGATAATTTTCATTTCTAAAAGATTCTGGGGATGAAGTTCAGTACTCAGAATTGCCAGGATTTTGGACTCTGTCCATCGTCCGGTTTTCTAAGGAACATAACTTTTCGGAAACGAGATCTATTTCCGTTCTCAGGTGAGGGAGCGAGAATCATCAACTCTGCTGATTCCGCTAGAAAGAGTTGACTTCAATCACTGTCCAGTGAAGGGGTGGTATTAACTGGATTCATCTGGCTCAGGATAGAGACCAGTGTCGGGTCCTTGTTAACACGATAATGGATCTTCGGGTTTCGTAAAATATTGGGAAGTACTTGCGTAGCTGCACAACTCGCAGTTTCTCAAGAAAGGCTCAGATCTATGGAGTTAGTTGGAAGCTCTGCCTGCCCCATGTTATTGCTGGTTTATTGTTTGGCATACCTTTTAACCCTGAAGCTGGAGGCTACACGCTCCTCCGTAACGTCGCTGACTGTTACCTAACTTCACGGTGTTACAACCAAGAGAGCTCTTTACTCCGAGACGAAGTGTGGATTGATGAAACACCCTATGGAGGATTTATAGTGGGCGACATGGGCTGGACAGAATAACCTCTAGAGGCCACGCCATCTGTTGCCGGAAATTACAGTTTCACACTGTGCTTAACTGTGACCCCTCCCCCACTTGGAACCTCATGCCCTGCTCCCAATAAAACACAACTATACAGTAATTATCCTTCCGTTACAACACTCTCTCGGGACAGTGAGAGATAGACATATATCGGAATACACAAATGTGTTCTTTATAAAAGGCAGAAAGGTGTCTCTTCTTCATACTTTTGCAACATTCATTCATTCATCAGATCTTCTGTTTTTGGAAAGAGACTATCCAGGAATAGTGATAATGTGGTAGTTTTTCCATTTGCTTTCCACATCGCAGTACAACAGCCGTTCAAACCACTCTGGTCACGCCTGTTGCTATACGAACTTGAACCATCTCGAGCATCATTTTCTCTGTGCTTCAAGTCGCCGCTGATGACGCTGCTTCCGGCATCAGTTTTTTTGCAACATAACCTAACAAAATCGTTACTGCAGTATTTACAGAGCATAAATTAATAAAAATAAAGCCAATACACTGTGTTTAATTTGACGTTTACATAGTTAAGTCGCAGTTCTTGATAAATAATTTCGTAATTATTTTTTTTCTTTGGAGCTACAGCCCAAGTTTGGGCCTTGGCCTACCTCCATGACACTCTCCGTTCACTTGGGTTTACTAGATCTTAAGACATTCGGTAGGACTCCTTGGGCGGGTGATCAGCTCATCGCAAGGCCTCTACTTATACACAAACGCAGAAAAACTCACATACACACACAAACACTAAATATCCAAGCTCTGAGTAGGATTCGAAACCACGATTCCGGCTTCGGAGAGAGCGAAGACAGTGCATGCCTTAGACAGCTCGGCTACCGTGACCGGTTTCATATTTAATTACACGTTAAAATGTTTCTTTGTTGTTTGCTTCACGACTCTGCCAGTAACTCAGATCAAATGGTCGCGTCATGATATAGTGAATTCGAAAGATGTGGAAGGGAGCAGCCGTGGCCTAATTTAAGGTAACATCCAAGAATTTACCTAGAGGAACTGATGGAAACGAAGATAACCCCCATTAAAGAAAACCGGTGCCCCGGCCGACGTTAAAACCGAGTACTTTCCGAATATAAGTTAGAAGAATTGTGGTTTGAGCTAACGTAAGCCGTTTGCTCTAAAGTCAATCTAAATAATATTCAAGGACCAGTTTCTTAAGGCACAACAAACAAACTGGGTCTCCGGTGAACAGACAAATCAATGTTTCTTAGGGAAATGCCGCAACGAACTCTGAAAATAATACAAAATCTATTAATACAACGTAAAAAAAAGTAAAGCTATCCCTGTAACAGACCATGAAGGCCCATAGGGTTGTGAGACGTTGAGGGTCCCACATTATCTAGACAATCGGCTCATAGATGGCGGTAAGGTTGTCAGCCTTACGCGTCGGCCGCGCTTTACTCCCCAGGAAAATAATTTAATTAATTCCTGGTACTCATTTCTGTTAGCTTCATAACTTGTACTCTTCTCCAAGTATAATCAGAATGATCAAGTCAAGGAGGATGAGGTGTGCCGGGCATGTAGCACGGGTGGGGGAGACGAGGAATGCATATGGGATATTGGTGGGAAAGCCAGAAGGAAAGAGACCACAGGGAAGACCAAGTCGTAGGTGGGTGGACAATATTAAAATGGATTTTAGAGAGATAGGATGGGATGTTATGGATTGGATTCATCTGTCTCAGGATAGGTACCAGTGGAGGGCTCTTGTGAACACGGTAATGAACCTTCGGGTTCCATAAAATGCTGGGAAATTCTTGAGTAGCTGCAGAATTGGCGGCTCCTCCAGAAGGGCTCAGCTCCATGAGTAACTAAGTAAGTACTCATTTCTGTTAGAGGCTGAGTCGACGCCAGTGCCATAGTGCGGCTGGAAGGATTAAGTCAATTTAAAAAATCTAATGACCTCATCGGGACTTGAACCCGCGACCTTCCGGCTTGTAGCATAGCCCCTCAACCAACTACGCTACCGTGTGCCCCCATGTGGGCAAAAGGGTACAAGTTTTTAATGTTAACACATGCTGTGCGTATAGTAGTGACAGTGTTTTAAAACTTCAAAGCCACTTTAAAATGTATTGAGAATCTACGATGAATATTCATCTCATCAGAAACGTTAAGCGCCATTGCGGAAATGACATTTCACGTGGGGGTCATTATGACTGGAAAAGATAAATTTTACATGCTTGGGGCACTTAAAAAATATTTGTAAATAACTAATTATCAAAAGAAGAAAAAAAGAGGTTGAGGAACAATGATATGGATTATGCCAACTGCTGGAATCCTGCAAATATATGACCAGAAATTTCAGTGCTTCACCGAGAGGTGGTGTTTGAGCTACCTCCATGCCCAAACCCATAATGGCGTGCCGTAACTCTACTGCTTTCCTAAGCCTCATCACAGAGGATCAAAGTTTCGGGTAATTAATGCGTATACCCGGGATACATGCACATATTCACGACCTTCACGACTTCACGACAGTCATTGCTTGATATTGAGCGCCAACACATCAAGCGAGCATCATGTTACTGCTGTAAGGCTGAAGACCCATAGCTAACGTACAGAGACTAAGACCAAAAACTGCGAACAGTTCACTGCGATATCGAGAACTTCATATAAGAATGCTTTTTTTTTTCTTTTGAAAGAGAGAGAGAGAGAGACAAAGAGGGGTAGAAAGTATAGCAGAAAAGTAAGTGAAAGTGAAAAGTTATAGAACGCTGGACAGACACTTTATACTTCATAATTTAGTTTAGTTTATTGAGTTAAATTTCGTTACAAACGCAGAACTGTGTAGACATAACGGCAGATTTTTGCTGTACACAGGTTCAAAACATGTAAATTAAAATATT